AAAGCGGCCCCCGCCCGCTGGGCTGGCAGCCACGCCGGGCCTGGGCCTCCGAGGGGAGGGGACAGCAGCCCCCGGTCCCTGGAATCTGGGACAAACCCAGTGTCTGTGGGACTCTTAATGTGGTTTCTGTTGGGAAAGTCACTGGTTCATTTTTCCCCGCTGAACAGGCTCGTTTCTGGCGCCGGAGACATCAAGCTTACCAAAGACGGCAACGTGCTGCTGCATGAAATGGTGAGCGCCTGCTCTGCTGGGGCAGAAAGGTCTTGGTTTTCCGTACTACGTTTGATTTGTAGAAAGATTTCAAATGTTCATTCTCAGTCCTGGAGAAAATTGTATTGATCGACTCTCAACAGGGTGATGTTTCATACAATGAAGGGAGAGGAAAAGTGATGTCAGTAGTAGCCCTGGAATCGACAGGCCTCCATTTGAATCTCTGCTCTTCTGCCATTTACCGTCTGGGTTAAGGATCGTAATTGTTAAAATTAATTATAACAAAATCTGAAAAATTAAGGGTAACTGATTGACAGATGGGCAGAATATGGCAGAATGATTACGGGTTTTCTCTTTTTTAAACTAATTTTTCTGTTAATCTTATCTCCATCTCCAACTGGAGGGGAGGTAAAATTGTCTCTTTGCTTTAACATTTCTAAGTCCCGGAGATCTAGAAAATGAAATTATCGAGGGCAGCATCCCTTACTCATACTTAAGTTCCCAAAACCCAGTAGTTGAAATCCAAGAGAAGGAAATGACTTGCCTTTGGTTTGAGTTAAGATAAAATTTAGGGTTTTAATAGTAGTATACCATGCCATCAACATCCAGAAAGATGTCTTCAGTAAGGATTAGCTAATTTAGGAGGCATTGTTTGTTTTTGTTTTTAATTTTATTTGGTTTTTATTGCGAGATACAATGTAAGTACAGAGAAGTACATTAAACACTTACGGTTTAAAGAGTAAAGTGAACAGTTGAAGCCAGCACCTTAGCTAATAAGTAAATCATTGTCCCCACCGCAGAAGACCTCTCCCCCTTTCACCTCTCTTCAATCTCCAGGGGTCTGTTTTTCAGGTTTTTTTCTGTGAAAATTAACAGATCGACAGGAAAGTTGAAAAAATAATTAGAACCAAGTATGCCCTTTACCTAGATTCACCAGTTGTTTACATTTTACTCCATTTATTTTTTTTCCCTGAACCATTTGGAAATGAGTTGTAGACATGCCATTTCATATCTAATATACTCTGAGCAAGAACATTCATTCTTCCACATAATCACAAAACTTATCATAGCTATTAACATTGATATCGTATTATATACAGTCCATCTTTGTCTTCACAGTTGTTCCCTCAAATGTTCTACCTGTTTGCTGTTTTCCCATATCCAGTAGAAAAGTCTGTTCATAATCTGGCATTATTTGCTTATTGATATAACTCTGAGAAATATATAGTATCATCTATGTGGTATTCTTGCCAAAAATATTTAACACCAGCAAACTTAACTAATGGGATACTGGAGAAGATGACTGGCCTAGATTCTTGAAAATTGTTAGTGTCCTCATAGATAAAAGGCTGGAGAACTATTATAGATTAAAGGAGAATAAAAACAATCACACATTTTATTTGAAGTATATTTGGACTGCTTCATTTTAAGTTATTTAAGTGATTCTTTTTCTGCTTCCAGCAAATTCAACATCCAACAGCCTCCTTAATAGCAAAAGTAGCAACAGCCCAGGATGACATAACTGGTGATGGTACTACTTCCAATGTCCTCATCATTGGAGAGCTGCTGAAACAGGCGGATCTCTACATTTCAGAAGTATATACGACTCTCTTATTTCTTTGGTTATTATGTGTAGGAAATGTCAGAAATAAGTCTAATATGAATGTCTAATATAAGTCAGTGTATATTAGTAGTAGCAGAGGCCATACAGTAGAATGTAAAGATCAAGGAGCTTAAATCTGGGAACTTGGGTCTTCACGCTGGTCTGACACAAATTTATTTTATTTATTTATTTATATTTTATTTTATTTTATTTTATTTTTATTTTTATTTTTTATTTTTTTTTCCTTTTTGTCTTTTTTTCGTGACCGGCAACAGATCGCAACCCTCAGTGTCACACCCGTACTGGACCGGGACCGGCAACTGAATCACAACCCTCGGTGTTGCGCCCGCACCTCGCTCAGCCAGTGAGCGGTCGGTCTGTATGTGGGATCCAAACCCTCGGGGAGTGCCGCCGCGCTCCCAAGCGGCGCACTGTAGCAGTGTGCCACCAGGCCGGCCCCTTTATTTTATTTTTTCCTTTTTGTCTTTCTTCGTGACTGGTAACGGGATCGCAACCCTTGGTGTCGCGCCCGCACTGTGCTCAACCAGTGAGTGGACCGGTCTCTATATGGGATCCGAACCCTCGGCAGGAGTGCCACTGTGCTCCCAAGCGCCGCACTCTATCGAGTGCACCACCGGGCCGGCCCACAAATTTATTTTTGATCTTGGATGAGATATAGATCCTTCCTTGGCCTGAAAATAATTTTTTATCAAGTTACATTGTATATGTGATTTCTGTCTTTCCCTAGAACATAGATTTGAGATCCACAAATGGAATGTTCAGAACTAGGCATATTTATAAAGAAAAGGACAACCAAAAGCTTACATTAAGTAAGAATTCTGCAACTTTTTTAGCCGTGAGTAGTTCCAAGGTTAAAGCAGACCTCAGTGACTACTAATCTACTGTCAAATTTCCTGAGGGCTGACTGGTTAGCTCAGTTGGTTAGAGCATGGTGCTAATAACATCAAGGTCCAGGGTTAGCTCCCTGTACCAGCCAGCTGGCCCCCACAAAAGAAATTTCTTGGGAAGAAGGAGAGCAGACTCTTAGTTTCTGTTTATTTTTGTTAGTAAATGATGTAAATTAACTTCAGAATGTTATAGAAAAGATGCAGTGTTCCTACTGACTCCAAATTGTTAGGACACAGCTTTGCGTTTGGGCAATATTCCTGGTAGTTTGCACAGTGAACATCCAAGTGTGCTTTGTAGTTCTCTTGGCTTTGACTCTGTGCTAGAGCAATGTCTGTTCTTTTCCTCTGCATTGAAAGGAGTGTTTATCCTTTTAAATGTATTCAGAAAGCCAGCACAGTATATTACCTTAATTGTAGTAAGCAGTATAAATGATCCAGAATATCACTTCAAAAATTTCCTGAACATTATCATGAACTATAGCTGCAACTAGTTGAAGATGAAAGTATTAGCGATGGTTTTGTAATTGTGTGTTTATTGTAGGGTCTTCATCCCAGAATAATCACTGAAGGATTTGAAGCTGCAAAAGAAAAAGCCCTTCAATTTTTGGAACAAGTCAAAGCAAGCAGAGAGATGGACAGAGAAACACTTATAGATGTGGCCAGAACATCTCTTCGTACTAAAGTTCATGCTGAACTTGCAGATGTCTTAACAGAGGTATGTGTTAAATTTAGTATGTGTCTTAGTACAGTACACCTCTCTGGAAAGTCCTTGACAGCAGAAACATCAGGATACTTACCAATTCCATTTTTTTTTTTTTTGAGACTGACTGGTATGGGAATCCGAGCCCTTACCTTGGTGTCATAACACCAGCTCCCAATTCCAGTTACAGGGTGCTATGTCTGAAAGTCTTCACAACAGCACCCTGTGTGAAATAAGTGGGTTCAGTTTTGTGGTAATGATACCTAATCTGTGTCTCTAAAAAGTAAAACGAGTAAATAGTATACCTTACCAAGGCCGGCCCGTGGCTCACTCGGTAGAGTGCGGTGCTGATAACACCAAGGCCACGGGTTCGGATCCTATATAGGGATGGCCGGTTTGCTCACTGGCTGAGCGTGGTGCGAACAAAACCAGGCCAAGGGTTGAGATCCCCTTACCGGTCATCCTTTAAAAAAAAAAAAAAAAAAAATAGTATACCTTACCAGGTTATAAAAGTATAATTGCAGCTTTCATTAAAAGTTTGTAAAGTGGAGATTTCATTATTATAAAGCTTCCAGTTGTTAACATTCATAATAAAATAGCCAGAAGGATGTTAGTAATTTATTAGGTAATTACAAACTGAGATTTCAGAAGTGTAAATTACTTCAGCCCTTTATATATAAGGTATTCTGTTTGCTCATAGAAAAAGACTTAAAGCAATTCAGGGGTTCTAAAGTGAATAAACTGTCTACTTTAAGCTTCTCTGAAGAACAACCAACTTAAATGTTTGACCTTCTGCAAACTGAATTTTATTTAATGGTTATTCTTTGTAGGCTGTAGTGGACTCCATTTTGGCCATTAAAAAGCAAGACGAAGCTATTGACCTTTTCATGATTGAGATCATGGAAATGAAACATAAATCTGAAACTGATACAAGGTAGGTGGTAGAATGCTATGAAATACTATTCAAGGGTGTTTAGAAATTTACAGGGGCTTTATACAATATATATTTTAGTGCATTTTTTTTATGTCTGGATATAAAATGTGTAAATGTATATTTACAAATTGAATAAATTGCTAGGTGAGTATTATATTTACTCTTCATAATATTTCCTCTTGAAGTGAGGGGAATGGTGTGCTGTGCATGTTCTTAGATATTGTTTTTCACAACCGACCTGCCTAGCTTTCACCCAAAAGTCCTATTTAAATAATTCAAGAAATAAAGCTGATTGTTTGAAAATTATCAGTATAGTCTCAGGTGTTTTTATTTTGTTAATATTTGTTATATCTCTGTCTGGGAATAAAAATATAATTTTCTTATGTGTTTTAACAGCTTAATCAGAGGGCTTGTTTTAGACCATGGGGCACGGCATCCTGACATGAAGAAAAGAGTAGAAGATGCTTACATCCTCACGTGTAATGTGTCATTAGAATATGAAAAAACGTAAGTTTATAGCCCCTTAAAAATGGAATAGAGGAATAGAGGAGCTTGGTATTTTGGGCAAGTCACTTTATAAAATTCATTTTCCCCAGTGTAAGGACAGTAATGCCTCTACTTGGTTTGCGAGAACTATAAAAACCACCTCTGAAAATGTACAAGGGGAAATTGGAGCTCAGTGACTCATTTGTTAAATCTTAAGACCAGTTCAGTTTCTGAGGCTGCTATCTTATCTTTTACTCAAAAAATAAACATTTCTTCCTGTTCTGTACCTTTTTCTTAAATAGAGAAGTGAATTCTAGCTTTTTCTACAAGAGTGCAGAAGAGAGAGAAAAACTAGTAAAAGCTGAAAGAAAATTCATTGAAGATAGAGTTAAAAAAATAATAGAACTGAAAAAGAAAGTCTGTGGTGATTCAGATAAAGGATTTGTTGTTATTAATCAAAAGGTGAGAATGAAAAATTTGATATATAAGTTAAAAGTCTGTATTATTCCTTTTATGTTTAAGGTGAAAGGTGTTGAAACTAATTTTTTTGTTATAGGGAATTGACCCTCTTTCCTTAGATGCTCTCGCAAAGGAAGGCATAGTAGCTCTGCGCAGAGCTAAAAGGAGAAATATGGAGAGGTATGTGTAGTAGTATCTGAGTAACGTGAATTTTACTTATTTTGCAAATGATTTGGGATTGTTGTTTTTCCCCCAATTTTATTTTTCTATTTTATTGTGATAAGTGTAAATAACAAAATTTAGCTTTTTGGGGTGGGAAGGGGTGCTGGTTGGTACAGGACTCAAACCCTGGACCTTGGTGTTATCAGTACTACAAAACTTACCACTTTAACCACTTTTTTTTCCCCCCCTTTTTGTCTTTTTTTGTGACCGGTAACGGGATCGCAACCCTCGGTGTCGCGCCCGTACCGCGACCGGCAATGGGATTGCAACCCTCGGTGTCGCGCCCGCACCGCGCTCAACCAGTGTGTGGACCGGTCTCTGTATGGGATCCGAACCCTCGGCGGGAGTGCCGCCGCGCTCCCAAGCACCGCACTCTCCCGAGTGCGCCACCGAGCCGGCCCAACCACTTTTAAGTGTACAATTCAGTGGCATTAACTACATTCACATTTTTGTGCAACCATCACCACTCTCCATCTCCAGAATTTTAAGACCGAATAATAATCCATTGTATGTATGTACTACATTTTGTTTATCCATTCATCTGTCAGTGGACATTTGGGTTGTTTCCACCTTTGGCTATTGTGTATATTGCTGCTATGAATATCAGTATATACCTGTTTTATTTTTAAACCATGTACATATTTTTTCTCGTTAAGAGACAGCATCAAGAATATTCAGAGAAATACTTTCTCTCAGAGAGCTCACCCACAATAAAGAGCTTTTGACCACCTTTAGATTTCATATCTGAGGGGTACAGTCAGCCCTCCAAATCCATCAGTTCCACATCAATGGATTTAACCACAGATTGAAAATATTCGGGAAAAGAAATCGTGTCTGTACTGAACATGTACGGATTTTTTTTCTTGCCATTATTCCCCAAACAATACAGTATAACAACTGTTTACATTGTATTGTTATAATGAGTAATCTAGAGATGATTTAAGTGTATAGGAGGATGTGCAAATACTATGCCATTTTATATCAGGGACTTGGGTATTCGTGGATTTTGGTGTTCATGAGAGGGCCTGGAACCAATCCCCCACAGATAATGAAAAGACCACTTTTCAGCTGGTTAATGGTGACTGGAAAGGCTTAGGTTAAAATACATTTTAGAATATAATTTTAGTATGTAATTCTGAAAAACTGCTTCTTAAATTTTTTTTCTTTTTTTTAAAAATCATAACTGGTAACATTGCTTATACATCTCCCTTAAAACACTTTAATATTTCAGGCTGACTCTTGCTTGTGGTGGGGTAGCTCTAAATTCTTTTGATGACCTAAATCCTGATTGTTTGGGACACGCAGGACTTGTCTATGAGTATACATTGGTAAGTGTATCCCACCTGCCCATCCCTGTTAATTCTTTAGTAGAAAACTTCATTCAGACTTGGGATCGGATTTTTCTTTGCTTACTTAAGTCTTGATGGTGTATGTTTACTAACAATAAGCCATTTCTTTCATATGTGATTTTTCAAAGAGAAATTTGCTTTAATGTGATCAGTGGTGGTCATTATTAATATGCTACTTACCATTCTTTCCATTAGCTCTTCCCTTCTTTTCATTCTTTGCACAAACAAATCTTGTTTTTGAAAATATATCTTCTCTGCACATAGGGAGAAGAGAAGTTCACCTTTATTGAGAAATGTAACAATCCTCGCTCTGTCACATTATTGATCAAAGGACCAAATAAACACACACTCACTCAAATCAAAGACGCAATAAGAGATGGCTTGAGGGCTGTCAAAAATGCTATTGATGATGGTAAGATTTCAGTGTATTTAAATTGTATTTTGGTTTTTTGTTTGTTTGGGGGCCAGTGCAGGGATTAATAAATTGTATTTTTGCTGGTCCAAAAGGCGCATGGCTGAATACTGTGTTCTTTTATCAGTAGTTTACACAGCCAGACACCATGCAAAAGTAGTCTTCCCTTTAAAATGACTATGATGGTATGCTAAGTTTTTTCATAGCATGTCATTATTAAAGGTGAATACAAATAAATGAACTAATACTACTAGTTTGCAAGGGCTGCTAAGTGCTAGTTAAGTAGAACCATTCTGCTGTTTGATATTTTAGTTGCTTGTATTGTAGCTTTCAAATGCAGTATTTAGATTGATGTGGTTATGGTGAATTTGTAAGAAATTAATGGTTTTCGTGTGTGTGTGTTTTCCTTGTAATTGGTTCTAGAGGTTTGGGTTTTTGTTTTTTTTTTTGTCACTTAGCATTTCTCTTTTCCCCATCTGTCAGGCTGTGTGGTTCCAGGTGCTGGTGCAGTGGAAGTGGCAATGGCAGAAGCCCTGATTAAACATAAGCCCAATGTGAAGGGGAGGGCCCAACTGGGAGTCCAAGCGTTTGCTGATGCATTGCTCATTATTCCCAAGGTGTGGCTACTTTTAACAGTGAATTTTCTGGACTATGCTAAACCATTTTGATAATGTAGGTTTTTTCATAATGTGGATTTTGGATAAACGAGTTTGATCATCTAAATGTATTTGGTTCCTCTTAGGAGGCTTAAATATCTGAAGCTTCAGATGGCAAGAGATAACTATTTTAAGATTTGAAGCATAAGGGTTATACTTGAGTACAAGCTTTTTGTTTTTGTTTTAAATAGATGAATATCGTCTATTTTGTACTCGTTGGGAGTATAGTTTTAAATTAATTAAAAATACTGTTCATTTATTGTAGACTTCACCGTCAATGCTTAGATCCTTTCTTTTCAAGCATTAAATTTGTTTACTTTAGGTTCTTGCCCAGAACTCTGGTTTTGACCTTCAGGAAACATTAGTTAAAATTCAAGCAGAACATTCAGAATCAGGTCAACTTGTGGGTGTGGACTTGAACACAGGTAAGAGAATGCAACTATATGTAGGGGAGAGAACTAGATTCCTAGGTGAGGTAAAGCCAGGAAGATCAAAAATGGGACCATCCTTGTACCTGCCAGCTTCACAAAAAGAAAAAAAAAAACTGGAGCAAAAGAATCTTGGATAGTTGCTTTATAGTTTGACACCAGTGCTATCAAGGAACTCTTAGTTCTAAATTGGAATAAAGTATACAAAAGTGGAATGCCTAGATAATTAAGGGAATAGAAATGAAGACTTTCAAAAAAACAGGTTGAAGATGTTGCTCAGTGGGGGGTTTTAACCCCACTGAGGGTTTTATCAATTAAATTTGGTAAGAAAATACATTAAGTGATCATATCAATGGGTGAAAAAACTAAAAAGGTTAGCAAGAAATGCTGGGAAAAGAGACTAATAAATCTAATGAAACTATTATAGTCCTGATCTTCAGCACTGTAACAACACAAATTATACAAGTACAAAATGGAAGACAGATACCACGTACATCTGTGCAATATTTGTAACTTTTTTTTGGTGGCTGGTTGAAAAGACTTATTGTTATCAACATTAACAGAAAAGGTTTCTGGAATGAGGGAAATGATGTCTATTTTAGCTAGATTATAGTGCAACTGCTTTACTTTAGTACAGATAAACAAGAATGTGTCCAGAACAGACACAAGAGTACCCTATTACTGATAGTCTTTTAAGTAGATAGAGGTCAGCAACTCATCAAAAGGTATTGTGGACAGGAGTTATGGTTTGGAGTAGAAAATTGGACTAATAGAGCAGCTTTGGATTCTCATAGTTGTTACTGAAGGAAATGAGTAATTAGTGATGAGCAAAGAAGCACACAATACTCTGTCCATCTGATCTTATTACTATATGTGATTTTAAGAAGACTTGGTTACCTTTCAGGTGAGCCAATAGTAGCAGCAGAAGTAGGAATATGGGATAACTACTGTGTAAAGAAACAGCTTCTTCACTCCTGGTAAGTTTGGGAAAACCAAAACTAAAATAACCTTTAGGGAATCATCATACTCCTTTTATTTGGTACATTCTGCCTAGTTACACACCACCACCACCACAATCCCAAACAGTGCAGTCAACTGGAAATATGGAAACTAAATTAGCCATCTACACATAAAGGGGAAAGGGGAAATTTAATTGGATGTAACATGTGCAGTTTAATTGGAAATGGGAAATTGAGTTGAATTAGGATTCATGTTGTCTGAACCATCTGATTTGTTTTCCCCCTTTCAGCACTGTGATTGCCACCAACATTCTCCTGGTTGATGAGATCATGCGAGCCGGAATGTCTTCTCTAAAAGGTTGATTTGAAGCTTGTCTTGTACCATATGAATCTTGAAGACTCTACAGAGTGATCCTGAGGAATACAACTGTGGAATTTTTGTCCAAGCTTCAAATGATTTTCAAAGGAATTTTCTTTTCCCTTAAGAAAACAGGAGAGAACACTGGCACCTATTCAAAATCTGAAGTTCTGAAAATATAATTACAGTATTTTTTAAACTGCACTGAGCATATACACAAAAAGGAGGTCCTTTTATTCCAATGAACAGGATGTTTTGCTTTTGTGCAGTGACATAAAATTATGTTAGATAAGCATATGTTATCTATCTTGTTATTAAAAATATTCCTTGAAAAACAGTTTTAATGGCTTAATAATTTCTTATAAATGTATTTTAAATTATCCAACAGTTCCCTATTAAGCATTTGTTTTAAATATTTATGCTAATACAAATAACACGTAAGTCAAGATTTTGAAAGCATCCCTCTACTTTGTATAAATTTCTGTAAGATTACCAGATTAGTTGGACTTCACACTTCTGAAATATCTTTGCTCCCCAGAAAAGTTAAGTTGTAGGAAGAGGAATGAACTAGGAGCAAGGTACTTGAGAGCTGCAAGTATAGAGTGGCACAAATTGAAATAGAGAAAGGTAAAAAGGTGGCAGAGGTAGAAAGATGGCTGAAGGCATAGTGGCTAAGGGCTGAGTGAGAAGAAGGCCAAAAGATAGGGTCTGAGGAATATCACAATCTGGGATCTACCTTTGAGGAACTTACAGTGCTTTTCTGGAGACAACACCGTGAAGTGGTACATCCAGCCAGAGAAGTGTGGCCTATTGGAAACCACACTGTAAAGAAATCTGATTGTCGAAGGTTTGGATCCCCCTGGCCAGCTGCAAAAACAGAGTCCTATCTCTTGCTAACCAGGTCTTTAAGTCATTTTACACTTTTGGATCTTGGTTTTTTCCTGTGAAATAAGAAGGTTGAAGTAAAGATCCTTTTTATTCTGTGATTTTCTGGGGGCATTCACACATCAAGTTATTTGATGATAATCATTGTACACTTGTGCAAAGTGTCAGGGATGCACTGGCAAAATAGAGGTAGTCCCTTCTCTTCTTTTTTTTTTTTTTTTTTGACCGGTAAGGGAATCACAGCCCTCAGCACGGTGTGGTCAGCACCACACTCAGCCAGTGAGTGCACCGGCCATCCCTATATAGGATCCGAACCCGCGGCCTTGGTGCTACCAGCACCACATTCTCCCGAGTGAGCCACGGGGCTGGCCCTCCTTCTCTTCTGGAGCATATAATATAATGGTGAGAATCACTAAGAATTGATAATAGTGGAGAGGAAGAGGCAGAGAAACAGCACGAACAGAAATATGGATAGAAAGTGCTAGATATTTTTCAAGGTATAGTGTCTAGATTTACCTAGCTGGGACAAAAGGTTGTGCAAAGGTATGAAGAAGTAAGTGAAAATCTACCATATGCCCAACATTGCACACATTTTTTTTAATTCATACGGCTACCACCTATGAGATAGATGTTATCTCCATTTTACAGATGAAGAAATTGAATCTCAGATTAAGTAATTTGCCCAAGGTCTCCCAGCAAATGAAGTTGTAAAACAAGAATTCTTTTTTTTTTTGCAGCTGGCTGGTCTGGTGACTTTGGTGTTACAGAACAAGAATTTAAAGCCAAAATTTTAAGCCTCCATGCTTTGTTTTTATTATACTATATTACAAATGATCCAATATATGTGTGTATTACTATACTGATAACACTTCTTTATCTCTGCAGGGAATGGACAGGCTACTAGCATGGTCCAGCTGTCAGGTGGGAGATTCCTGATGGGAACAAATTCTCCAGATGGCAGAGATGGTGAAGGACCTGTCCGGGAAGTGACAATAAAACCCTTTGCCATAGACATATTTCCTGTCACCAACAAAGATTTCAGGTACATCAAGTGTTCTTATAGGAGAAGTAAAGGCTCGTTGTAATCTTCATTCCTAATATCTAAAAGGAAGCTAGCTTATTACTGCCACATACCATCTTTGCAGTAGAACTGTGGGATAAGTATTATCCACATTTTTCAGGTGAAAAATCTGAAGTCCAAATAGGTTTGACCAACTCTCTCAGTTTGTGGAAGAGTTGGGTGGAATTCAAATCTGCTCTGACTCTTGAGCGAGTGCATTTCCATTACACTGGGCATAGCACTGGGAAATATGAACAAAAGGGATGTAACACTCCACAGAAATCTCTTCTGTGGGGGTGAAAGGATTGGGAGAAAGGTCCTACTAGGTGAGAGTCCCTTAAATTCCCTTTATATTTGTTGAGGGAAATGGCATTGTTTTAGGAGTCAAATGTTGTGGTTCCAGCTCAATCTAAGAAGCCATGATGAGCTGCCTCAGTTTTTCCAAGGCCATAGGCTAAAATGAAAAATAATCCAGAAAATATCTGTAATTTGCCTTCAAATGGTCCAAGGAGGAAATACATAAAAAGAGAGATGGGGAAGGGGAAGACAGTAATGTAAATGGAGAAATGGCTTGAATATTATATTTGTGGACTTACACATTTTCAAGATAAAAAGCTGCAGGGGGTGATGGAGAATTGATTCAGGAGATGCAGACTGAAGTAGCATAAGGATTGTTGGTATATATATATTCCTTAGACCCTTTGACCCCGTAATTCCACCTCTAGGGATTTGTCTTAAGGAAAGAATTAAAGTCATTCAAAACATTTAGCTCTAAAAATGACATTGTAAACAAATTTCTAACAATTTAAGAATCACTCAAACATTTTATACCAATATAACAGAGTACTTAGCAGCTATTAAAAATCTTGTTGAGG